GTTACCTAGGACTGGGGTTGTATGTAGTGGCAATCAGGAGAGACAATGATACATGTTTCTTTTTGGGGTTATGAAAATGTTCTCAAATTAGATGTGATGGTCACATAACTGAATATTCTAAAAACTAATGAATTGTACAATTTAAATGGGTACATTTTATTTTATTTATTATTATTATTATTATTTTTTTGAGGCAGGGTCTTATTCTGCCGCCCAGGCTGGAGTGCAGTAGCATGATTACAACACACCAACTCACTACAGCCTCCACCTCCTGGGTTCAATCCATCCTCCCACCTCAGCCTCCTGAGCAGCTGGGACTACAGGCGTGCATCACCACACCCAGCTAGTTTTGTATTTTTTGTAGAGATGGAGCCTCACCATGTTGCCTAGGCTGGTCTTGAACTCCTGGGCTCAAGCAATCCACCTGCCTTGGCCTCCCTAAGTGTTGGGATTACAGGCATGCCCACCTCGCCCAGCTAAATGGGTAAATTTTATAGTCTGTAATTTATATCTCAACAAAGCTATTTAAAGTTTTGGGTTTTTTAATTATTATTGTTGTTGTTTTAAATGGAGTTATGCTTTTTTTGCCCAGGTTGGAGTGCAATGGCGTAATCTCGGCTCACTGCATCCTCCACCTCCCAGGTTCAAGAGATTCTCCTGCCTCAGCCTCCCAAGTAGCTGGGATTACAGGCATGCACCACCACATCAGGCTATTTTTTTTTTTTTTTTTAATTTAGGCTGGAGACAGGGTTTCACCATGTTGGTCAGGCTGGTCTGGGTTTCACCATGTTGGTCAGGCTGGTCTCGAGCTCTTGACCTCAGGTGATCCACCTGCCTCGGCCTCCCAAGGTGCTGGGATTACAGGCATGCACCACCACGCACGGCTAAACTTTTTTTTCCCCCCCGAGACGGAGTCTCCCACTGTTGCCCAGGCTGGAGTGCGGTGGCATGATCTCGGCTCACTGCAAGCTCCGCCTCCCAGGTTAACGCCATTCGCCTGCCTCAGCCTCCTGGGTAGCTGGGACTATAGGCGCCCGCCACCACGCCCGGCTAATTTTTTGTATTTTTAGTAGAGACGGGGTTTCACCGTGTTAGCCAGGATGGTCTCGATCTCCTGACCTCGTGATCCGCCCACTTTGTCCTCCCAAAGTGCTGGGATTGTAGGCGTGAGCCACCGCACCCGGCCTAGGCTAACCTTTTTTAAATATAGGACTTTGAAAGCTTAAAAAAGAGGTAAACATACGCTGTTTGGGGGTATAATCTCTAAATTTTTAGAGATTTTAATTTTTTTGTTATACTTTTCTGGGCTCTCCAAGAATATGTATTTTTGTAATTGGAAAATTCGGAAAAGAATAGATGTTACAAAGATGTAGAATTCCAGCCAGCCATGGTGGTTCACACCTGTAATCCCAGCTCTTTAGGAGGCTGAGGTGGGAGGACTGCTTGAGCCCAGCAGTTCGAGACTAGCCTGGGCAACATAGTGAGACCCCATCTCAAAAAAAAAAAAAAAAAAAGATGTAGAATTCCACCCTTCCCAACACCTGCCACATACCCACAAGCAGCAGCAACAACAAACCCTCCTGAAAAAGCAAGAACATCATTTGAGGGACAAGTGAGTTGGCACCTGAGTTCAAGGTTGTCTACCTGGATGACTTGTCTGCATAATGAAATGGTGGTAAACTGCAGCTAAACAAGCCAAGGGCAGCTGGTGAGAGGACACTGTTAAGGCACTTGCTTGGGATTTTCACAGAATTGTGATGAACAAAATATTATATGAGAAAGATAATTTTTGTATCCTTGGCCAGAATAATTGAAACAGGTTAGTTAAAAAGTTATTAGTATGGGTTTGAAGTGGTTAATACCTTGGTCAGGATATTGAGTGGGAAACGGAGTGAAGGGGTGACTCCTAAAATGTTTCAATGACAAAATCCTCAGGGAATAGTGATGACTTAAATGGAATTAGAGATTATACCAAGACACCATACATGTTGAAAGACTAGAAGTTCTCTTAACATGAAAGAAGTTGACTAAGGACCATTTTGACAGAAAAGCAATGAATGTGAGGATATGAAAACTCTATTGCCATTATTTAGAATCAGGATTCCAATGTTTGAATCCTAGTTTCCCTATTTGCTTTCTTTCTTTTTTTTTTTTTTTTTTTTTTGAGAGAGTCTCACTCTGTCACCCAGGCCAGAGTGCAGTGGCACCATCTCGGCTCACTGCAAACTCCACCTCCTGGGTTCAAGCGATTCTAGTGCCTCAGCCTCCCGAGTAGCTGGGATTACAGGCGCGTGCCACCACGCCCAGCTAACTTTTGTATTCTTAGTAGAGACAGGGTTTCACCATGTTGGCCAGGCTGGTCTCGAACTCCTGGCCTCAAGTGATCCGCCCGCCTTGGCCTCCCAAAGTGCTGGGATTGCAGATGTGAGCCACCATGACAAAACCCCTATTTGCTTTTTGATCTCTGTAAAAATACCCAACCTTTTTGAGCTTCGATTTCCTATATTTTTAAAATAGTAATATCAACTTCTACTTCATAGCCTGTTTTAAATAAATCAGAAAGCACATAAAAGCACTTAACAGGCTGGGCACGGTGGCTCACACTTGTAATCCCACCATTTTGGGGAGCCGAGGCAGGTGGATCACTTGAGGTCAGGAGTTTGAGACCAGCCTGGCCAACGTGGTGAAACCCCATCTGTACAAAAAAACAAAACAAAAACAAAAACAAACAAACAAAAATTAGCTGAGTGTGGTGGTGGGCGCCTGTAGTCCCAGCTACTCAGGAGGCTGAGACACGAGAATCGCTTGTATCCGGGAGGTGGAGGTTGCAGCAAGCTGAGATTGTGCAACTGCACTCTAGCCTGGGTGATGGAGCAAGACTCCATCTCAGAAAAAATAAAAAAGAAAAGAAAAAGCGCTTAATATAATGCCTGGCACACGCTCTGAAAAATATTTTATATATATGGTAATATTACCATTGGGGGAACCGGTGTGAAGGGGACATAGGATATACTGGCACATCATTTGAAACTTCATGTAAATCTATAATTGTTTCTAAATAAAAAGTTAGAAAATGTATTAGCTATCTAGTCTGGGAATTGTGTTGTGTCATTGTGCTAATATTTTTCTCACCAAACGAAGGAACCAAGGACCAGAGACACAAGCAATTTGTTACAAAGAGTTACAGAGAAGTGAAATGAGAATGGAAGTAATTTCTTCTGAATCATATTACCATAGAGCAGCCTTAGTGTGAAGGCAGCTTAGAATTAGGGCAGTTAACCACTGAACTTATCTGGGTTTGAATATGTGGTTTGCTATGGTTTATTTCCTGGTTCAACTTGACTCATTCATTCAGATTCAGAATAATAAATATTTAAATGTTTAAAATAATAAGCATCTAAAATAATAAGCATTTCCTCCCCATGTACTCTGTGCTAGGCATTGTGGAAGCCTCTCCCATATTGCTTTGAATGCGATTGCAACTAAAGGTTTCTGAATTCTAAGAGAAAGGCACAAAGGAAATTTACTACTGCCACTCTAATCCATTTAGTGCTCACTGTTTAAACATCTTTGTTTTCTCTTAATGAAATTAAAATGTGTGGAACAAATTGTATAGGATGGTAGTACCTCCTCAGTGGGGAATTCTTTTGCCTCTACTAACCTGGAGCATTGGGAAAAGCATGGGAGTAGGGAACATAGTGGATAAGAAAAAGAGGGTTTATTTTCCTTTATACTCAGTTTACAGTAGTGATTCCAGCAGGATGCACTATTTTGTTCAGAAAAAGCTGATGCGAAGAAACTTGGAGCTGTGGCTGATGACCTTGGGACAGAGTTGAGGTTCTGTTGCATTCTTGGGGCAGTGCTCAGCTCCTGTAAATGCAGAAATAACAGCCCCGAATCAGGGTAACTCTAGATAGAGCTCAGTTCTGTAGGTATTTTTCCCTTTCCCTCCCTCCCTCCCTCCCTTCCTCCCTTCCTCCCTTCCTCCCTCCCTCCCTCCCTTCCTCCCTCCCTTCCTTCCTGTCTCTCTTAGGTCAGTGTGAGAATATGTCTCTTCAGCTGACATGAATAAAGAGATCAAATATCTTTGAAAAACTATGAAAGTTCTAGGAAAGGCTAAGGCTTCACATTCAGAATGTCACCTTTACAGGGAGCTTTAAAGGGAGACAGCAGCAGCATAGAGTGGAGGACATGTAAAATTTCACAAATATTTACCTTTATACAATTTTTTTTCTTTTTTTTTTTGAGATGGAGTCTCACTCTGTCGCCCAGGCCGGAGTGCAGTGGCGCGATCTCGGCTCACTGCAAGCTCCACTTCCTGGGTTCACGCCATTCTCCTGCCTCAGACTCCCGAGTAACTGGGACTACAGATGCCTTCCCAGCTAATTTTTTTGTATTTTTAGTAGAGACTGGGTTTCACTGTGTTAGCCAGGATGGTCTCAATCTCCTGACCTCGTGATCTGCCCGCCTCAGCCTATCAAAGTGCTGGGATTACAGGTGTGAGCCACTGTGCCCGGCCTTACCTTTGTACAATTTATAGAAATGTATAAGAGGCTTTAGGTAAGAGACTGGCAATTAATTTTTTTAATTGTTCTTTTTCTCTTTTTTTTTTTTGTGAGACAGAGTGTCACTCTGTGTCCCAGACTGGAGTGCAATGGCGTGATCTCGGCTCACTGCAACCTCTACCTCCTGGGTTCAAGTGATGCTCCTGCCTCAGCCTCCCTAGTAGCTGGGATTACAGGCATATGCCACCACGCCCAGCTAATTTTTTGTATTTTTAGTAGAGATGGGGTTTTGTCATGTTAGCCAGGCTGGTCTCAAACTCCCAACCCCAGGCGATCCACCCACCTCAGCCTCCCAAAGTGCTGGGATTACAGGCGTGAGCCACCACACACAGCCTAAAAATTGTTCTTATTTGAAAATGAGTCTATGAGGGACATTTTGTCAACCTGGTTTCAAAAAAAGAGATGAATGAAATGAATGGTAAGAATTTGTTTAATGTGCTCATTTCAGCAGCACATGTACTAAAATTAGACTGATACAGAGAAGATTAGCACGGCCCCTGCGCAAAGATGACACACAAATTCATGAAGCAGTTCATTAAAAAAAGTAAAGAAATATTTGTTCAAAAATCATTTTTAATTACATAAGTATTCTCCATTTTTCAGATTGTATAATAAATAATAGGTCTGTCTTTATATACTTTCAGTTTCAGGAATGATAATTCTGAAGAAAAAAGTGAATGGTTCATCACCGATACAAGAATTAACAAACATGATAGTGGCTAGCAACGTCAGGTAGGTTTTATTTATTAGCAATGTTTTCCCCACGATTTTTTTTTATGTTTGTTTGTGGTTGAAAAGCCAAACACATTAATTTCCAAGGCTCATTGGCTGCTAAGAAAAATTGTCACTGTGGCCAGGTGCAGTGGCTCCTGCCTATAACCCCAGCACTTTGGCAGGCTGAGGTGGGCAGATTACCTGAGCCCAGCAGTTTGAGACCGGCCTGGACAACATGGCAAAACCATGTCTCTACAAAAAAATACCAAAATTAGCTGGGTGTGGTGGCGCCCACCTGTAGTCCCAGCTACTCAGGGGGCTGAGGTGGGAGGATTGCTAGAGCCCGGGAGGTGGAGGGTGCAGCGAGCTAAGATGCACCACTGCACTCCAGCCTGGGTGACAGAGCAAGACCCTGTCTCAAAAACAAACAAAAACCCTTTAATTATCATTTCGAAGAGGACTTATTCTTAAAAATGCAGGCCTTAGTACTTACATAGTTGGATGATGCTTTTAGAAAAATGACTTGGGGGACACTCCTCCTATATTTTACACATTTCAGTGGCAGAACAGGATAACAATTCAGACCTCCCGTGTGCTCTGACCATGGACAACACACAGCTCTGTCATCCTCAAGCTGCACTGCAAGTGAAGCCGGGGTAACGGTATGTAGAACAATGATTGGTATTATTTGTTTAAATATTATTTCTTATAAGAAGGCAACAGAGTGCAGTTTGTAAATCCCAGTTTAAAAACTCCTTTCTTTTAGAAAGGAGAATGAGAGAAAGTGAAATATAAAAAACACATACTTATGCTGAACCATGAATGACACCGTCACAGAAATATCTAAAAACCATACTGCTTAAAGGTACTTGTTGCAATGTGTAATTCAGCTAAGATGATAATCAAATGCATAGCTCTTGAATACAGAAAAATGATACAAATCCTCCTCCTTTGCTGCCCTTCCCACAGAATACTGAGATAAAACTTATTGAGGCCTAGCTACCAAAGGCAGAATTAGTTGTTCCATATCCTAGGCTAGCATTTGGTACATAGCCCCTATTTTATCATGATTACTGAGAACTGTTAAGTCTAACTCGACTGTGTAGATCAAGACAGTTTTATCTTAGTGCATCCAGTGGCTGAAGCACAGTTGGCACCCTGTAGATTTTGTGTTGTTGCAGTGAGATCACCAGTTACTACAAAGAGCTGATTTGGGCTGGGTTTGGTGGCTCACACCTGTAATCCTGGCACTTTGGGAGACCAAGGCCAGAGGATTGCTTGAGGCCAGGAGTTCAAGACCTGCCTGGGCAACATAGTAGAACCACATCCCTACAAAAATTTTAAAAATAAATTAGCCAGGTGTAGTGGCCCGCACCTGTAGTTCTAGTTACCTGGGAGGCTGAGATGGGAGGATCTCTTGAGGCCAGGAGTTCGAGGTTACAGTGAGTCATGATTGTGCCACTGTACTCCAGCCTGGGCTACAAGGCAAGACTTCGGCTCTAAAAAAAAAATTGTTTTTTAATGAAAAAAAGAGCTGATTTGGCTCTTTCTTCCCCCATTTACCCAGAATTGCTTAAGTGGTAGATACTGACAAGGTGTCTCAGCAGGGGCAGAATTCTCATGGTTTGAGTCAGTCGGGACCAATTTATGTTGATGTGAATTTCTAACTCCTTTGTCATTCTGAGTGTGTCAGCTGAATTCACGTAAGGGCATTCATCAAGGAAGGAAGAGAAACAGCCTTTAGTTTTAACTATTTTATAGCTGAGAAAATTAGACACATACTCCGAGTTACGGGGTCTATTCTGATTTTTATTACTCCTAGAAATTTCATACAGACTATAATCTATCTTGTTAGTAATATCTGATAGGGAATTTTTTGGAATAGCTATGTGTAGAAACTATTTTATTACACAGATTTAGGAATCTCAGAGGATCTGATTCCTTAGTCTCTAAATCTTCAAAGGCATTAAATGCCAATACATTGTCCTTGGTCAAGATTACAACGCAGAAAGGAACAAGCTAATAACTATTTAGAATTCCCTCTCCTAAGAGACCACATCGGCAAAGTGGCACCATAACACAGTTTGGTGTTTTGTTGGTCACTTTAGAATACCACCACCATTTTGGAGGCTTTGGGTGGAGCTGGGGATAAAGCCATGGAGGCAGAACCATGTCGGAAAACCTGGGTTTAGCCCCACTTTGTACTTGGGTGTTTGAGCTAATCGCTTAAGTCACGTAAAACAAGACTAATAAAGTCTGGGACACAGACTTTAACACCTCAAGTGCTGCCAAAAGTATTTAAAAGACAAAAGCGAATCACAGGCACCGTTCACCGAGCACCTCCTAGACATCAAGAAACGTGCGAGGTGCCCTACATTCTTCATTTAATGCCAATAACCCCACGAGGCAGGTATCACCTTCATTCTACAAATGGGCCCCACTCCTACCAACTAACTGGCTGATTGAGGACCTGACCCCAGGCCTGCCAACGCTCCGGCTGGCGGATTGCCCGCCTTGTCAGCTCCAGTTAGCAGGACGTGGGAGTAAAAACCCGGCGCCCCAGCCTTCACCGTGCTGCACGAGGAAGCTGGCTAGGCAGGCATGACTTTGTCAGTCAACCAGCCCGCAGCCGGGCCCTGGGCTTTGTTAGCAGCCACTTGGCGAGGGCCCCGGGCGGGTGGGGAGGCGGCGCTTCCTCCAAGAAGAGGTGGGACCCCGGCTCCGCCGACCTCGGAGCCGCCCCGGCCCCGGATCGCCGACGACGTACGTGCAGGCCTGGGGATGGGGCGCGGGCCACGAGCGGCGCGCCCGCCGAGATGGCTGCGGCCTGCAGGGCGGTGGGCGAGGCCGGTGACCCAATAAAGCGGCCGGTCCGCGGGAGGCCCCGCCCGGCCGGGTTCCGGCACTCGCCGCAGGGTCCCGGCCGGCGGCAGTTTGCGCGCCCCCGTCCGCAGCGCTCGGCGTGAGGGCGGCTTGGGCCGAGGGTGTGAGCGCGCGCCGCCGGGTCGGGGCCCGGCCGGGAGCGGGGAAGGCGGGAGGCGGGAGCGCCGGTCGCCCGGGAGCCGCGCAGAGGAGCAGGCGGGGCGGGACGCGGCCGGGGGCCCAGGCGTCCGAGAGCCGCGCCGCCCGCGGCAGGCCCGGGCCCTCGGCCCGCCCCGCGCGCGCGCCCCCGCCAGCCCGGCCCTCCTCCTCCCCGCCGCCCCTCCCGCGCGCGTCCACCGGCTCCCCGGCTCGCGCCGCTCCATGTAGCCCCGGATCCCCGGGCGGCCGCGGAGGAGGGGGCGACCACAAGATGGCGGGTACGTGGCCCCCTGTTCTCCGGGCGGCGGCGGCGGCTCCTCGCGCCCACCCGCCCTCCGCCGCCGCCCTGAGTGGCGGCCGGGCCGGGGCCGGCGTGGGGTCCTGGCGCGGGGAGGCGCCGCCGGGGCGGGAGGGCGGGCGGTGGGGGCGTCGCGCCGGGCCCCGGGGCGCTGACCGGGCCTTTCTTCTCTCTCCTCGGCGCAGACCTCTCGCTGCTCCAGGAGGACCTGCAGGAGGACGCGGACGGATGTGAGTGGCCCGACCTCGCGGTGGCCCGGCAGCCCGCGGGGAGCAGCCGGGGAGGGCGGGCTGCGGCGCGGCCTGGGCCGGGCCCTGGCTGGCTGAGGGGACGGTGGGCAAGGGCGGCCCCGGGCGGGCTGGGGTGGCGATTTGGGGGGAAAATCTCGCGTCCGTGAGGAAACGGCGCGCCCAGGTTCCGCTGGGGGAGGGAGACGCCCGGAGTAACGCCCAAGTTCGCTTTCCGCCCTTCGCTCTCCCGGCGCCCCCGAATCGCCCGCGGGCTCGGCAGTGGCGCGGCTGTTTTGGAAGGAGAAGCCGGTGGGGCAGGATTTGAAGTGGGGTTTGGGTGTGTTTCGGCCCCTGGTGTCCCCTTCCCCCGTCCCTCTAGGAAGGAAGAGGCTCGCGCGGGAGGTGTGTTTCCTTAGAGTGGCTCTTCCAGGAGCGCCGGGGGGGGCAGCCTGGGCCCCGGTAGCCGTCTGGGCTCCCCGACCCGGTTTTGGGTTGTTTGAGGATGATATACCTGTCATTTTACTTGGGCTCGGAGCAGTTTCTAGATTGCTCCCGATTTGATTCGTGGATTACGGGAAGGTTGGAAGGTGTGGCCTCATCAGGAATTACTAGGTTTGAAGAGCATATTTCTTTAATGCAGATACTCAGAAATCACGCAGCCCTCCTTCAGTGTTAACAGTGCAGCTTTCCTTTGAGGTACTGAAGTTTTTAGAGAGTTGACGTTTTTATTTTTAAAAAGACAAAGTTTTTGACGTTTCCTAATGGCGACGGAATTGATATTTAGAAAGGAATTTTTCGTCTTATATGTACTTTTCTAAGTCTCAGAAAATAATTTGGGTCACGATAGAAAAGACAGAGTTAAGCAGATTTCTATTGAAAGAAGTGACAAATTGCAGTTAACTTAAAATAGTTTCTATTCATGCTAATCTTCCAAAATAGTGACCCATCAAAAAAATCAATAGGTTTTGAGATGCATTTTAAAAATGAAGAGTGTGCAAAATGTATAAGCGTAGATCATGGGATGCGTAAGGGACCAAGAAATTGTTCTGAGTTGAGATGCTAAGCATAGTAGAATTGTGGTCTGTTTAGTGGAAAGCCTACTGGATGCTGAGATTGACTGTCTAATACCTGTGTAAGTAATTTCAGAGATGGTTGCAGTTTGAAATTACTCTTTTAAATACTCTGTGGTTAATCCTTAACATTGTCTAATGTGGTTCCCTTACTCAGAGTAAACTTAATTTTTAGATTCCTGGTTGTTGTCAGTAAAGTAAGGGGCATTTACTATTTAGATGGATTATCTGAAACGAGTAATTTATCTTTAAAGTAAATGAACCACATCCAGACTTCTGTTAAGTCTGTGTTTTTAGTGGGGTGGCTCAAAACACTTCTCTTAAAGGGAGCAGTACTCATGTAGTGAAGGACAGCTTTAACATTTTATTTAATGTTTACCTTAAGCCACTCCTCTACCTAATAGTAAGTTTGAGATATTGTTTAAGGCAGCTATTGATTTCAGATCTCTTGCCAGGTTAGGATTGGAGAAGTGGCCCTGATTATGTTACCTCGAGGAGGGCTTTTTATATTTATGTTTGACTTCGTAAATAGAAGATTCATTCATTCAGCAAGTATTTATGACTGTCTGAAGCAAAAACTTCTCACTCCTGAAGGATGAAATGCAGAGTCAGTTTCTTCCCTAGCCTCCAACAGGCACAGTGTAGAGGGGAAGGCATACCTGTGAAAAATTCAGCCGTGAGTTTCAAGACTGCCCGGTACTGGGGATGGAGCTCTGAGAAGGGTGGGCACAACCCATGCCCTCTAGTGGTTTACAAGCAGTTTTGAATCTAGGTGTACAGTACTATTACAGTTACAGACTTGGAGCCAGGCTGCTCTGTTCGTCTTAGCAGTGTCTTTTTGGGCAGACTCGGGCAACTCACTTAACCTCCCTATGCCTCAGTTTTGTCATTTGTCAGTAGACATAAGAAATATTACCTGCTTCATAGAGTTGTTCAGGGCTGTACGTGAGTTAGTGCCTGTGAAGCACTTGGAACAATTCCTGGTAGACGGCGATGGTTATGATTATGTTTGCTGTTATGAGAAAAGAGCACGGGAAGCTTAAAAGAACAGAGGAGGAAACACTGATGTTGAACCTTCCAGAATGAAGGTACTTACAGATGCTGCCAACGCTTGCAACTAACTTTTTTTTTTTTTTTTTGAGATGGAGTTTCACCCTTGTTGCCCATGCTGGAGTGCAATGGCGTGATCTCGGCTCACCGCAACCTCTGCCTCCTGGGTTCAAGTGATTCTCTTGCCTCAGCCTCCTGAGTAACTGGGGATTACAGGCGTGCGCCACCACGCCCAGCTAATTTTGTACTTTTAGTAGAGACAGGGTTTCTCCATGTTGATCAGGCTGGTCTCAAACTCCCGACCTCAGGTGAGCCACCTGCCTCGGCCTCCCAAAGTGCTGGGATTACAGGCGTGAGCCACTGCGCCCGGCTGCAACTAACTTTAAAGGTTCTGTTTGCTATGCATTTTAATTTAGGGTAAAACGGACATTGAAGACACAATAGTTATTTGCGTATTCATAATTTGGTTGAAGTCTTTGTTAGAGTAATTGCTTGTTTTTCTCAGTTCAGTTTTTGCAGGTGATACCTTTACCCAGAACATTCAGGAACAAAGGACCTTTGGACATATGGCCAGTTGAAGGACCACTTCCCTTCTCTTGTAAAGGGAGAAAGAATGAGGAGGAACACTGGGCCATGGTGCCTCCTTAGAGAGCGAGATGGTTGGTAAGGGAGTGAGAAAGCTGTCACATCCTGGAGAAGCTGGAGAAGGTAGAGGAGCCAAAAGTAGAAGAATGGAGCTTGGGCTGCCCTTACAACACAGTTGTTGTCTCATGAACCTGAGTTTCTCTGTCTATGGCAAAACTCCAGAGTATGGAGGCCAACCTCCAGAGTAGTTGTAAACAGGTCCTACTACTTCAGCCAAGCTAGGTGTAAGTTGGCCCTTGGGATGAGAAGAAATTATTTTCTGGTCAAGCGCTAGAATCTTGGTTGCCCTTCCTAAGTGCAGAACCTGGGCTATGAGGGAAGAGAGAGTAAGTTCTGTTGTGCAGATGATCTAGGAAAGGACCTAGCTAGAGTCTAGGACTTGAAAGAGGGTCATGGCCAGACATTGCTAAGAGTCTCACGTCTTTCGATTTGATTTGTTTTAAGCCCATCTCTGTATAGAGGCGTAGAGTTGGGGAGAAGGTTGGTCAAAGACTGACTTGACTGATAACCTTTGGAGGAAAAAAAAAAATCTAATGAGGAAAAAATGGATGGTATTGTATTTGTATATATATCTCAAAAGGTCATAAAGGTAAGTAAATGAAATCATTATCAGGTACTGTTAAATTTAGAAGAATAGGCTGGGTGTGGTGACTCATGCCTGTGATCCCAGCAGTTTGGGAGGCCGAGGTGGGCAGATCATGAGGTCAGGAGATCGAGACCATCCTGGCCAACTTGGTGAAATGTATACTAAAATACAAAAAAAAATTAACTGGGCGTGGTGGCGTGCACCTGTAGTCACAGCTACTCAGGAGGCTAAGACAGAGGAGCTGTTTGAACCCGGGAGGTGGAGGTTGCAGTGAGCCAAGATTGTGCCACTGCATTCCAGCCTGGCGACAGAGGAAGACTCCATCTCAAAAAAAAGTTTAGGAGAATAATGCAATAAAACTATATGTATTTAAGTTTAAAAGTGATACTTTCAATACTGTATCATGAAATACTTTGAATTTCAAATTGAAAGCAAACCAGTGACTCCATTTGAATATGGTTATCTCAGCGGATTTCAGAGTTGGATAGACCCTTTTTAATTTTTTATATTTAATTATGTACGTTAAGTAATAGGAGACAATGCAAAATTGTAGATGTTTAGAAAAAAATTATTTCAGATTTCTATTTTAGTTTCCAAAGATTCAATTTTGATTCACATTTAAGTTGGTAGATTCCTAAAATGAAATGAGACTAAGATACACTTAAGATTTGGTGAGCTAATGCTTGTAAAAATAATTTCACTTAAGGAGTTTCATTAGAACTTAAACTTTTATCAAAGCAATATGTTGAATATCATTTTTAAAGAATGGCTATGTAACGCTTAGTTTACAGTGCCTTTCATACACAGGTTGTTCTTCACGGCAGTCCTGTGATGTGTAGGCTATGGTATTCTAATACTAATGAGTAAGTTGACTAATGCCCAAAGGGACTCAGAAACAAAACTCCGAAGTTTAGGTGGAATTTAAACTAGGCCTTCTGATCCTAAATACCATACTTTGAATGTTATGTTTTCTTAAATGGCCCAGTTGAAAATATTGATCAACCCAAACTTGTATAGGCCATTTCTTTGAACTCATTCTTAAAGTACCCTTGCAAATGAATCTGGGATGCTGCATGTGGTTTAGTTTACACCTGGAGAATGATAGAGGGGATGGAGCTTGGGTATAATGCAGCTTATTTAGTCGTTAACTTTTATTTCAGCTGTAACTAAGTATAACGTTGAAAAGTTGTTGAAGCTGTGTTACTGAGTATGCCATACAACCAATTTTTTTCATATCGAAGTTTTGGAATCCTTTTACGTTATGCTGTTTTTTGGGTTTAAGGGCAGTGTTGAAGTAGAGTGAAGAATGGGTCCAGAACTAACTGAGGGTAACCGCCTAGACCGCACTCTGTGCAGAGTCTCCAGGCGCTTCTACCACTTTTCAAAACCAGTTCTGATAAGCTTAGAGTCCTTGTTGCTGGGGGAGGTGAGGAGCAAAATATTGGCGCTGTATCCGGTAGCGGCCAGGGAATCATTCAGAGACCTTAGGAAGGTGCCCTTGAACATGAATGATATTTAGGAGTATTGTTAAATAGGGATTTGGGAGGGTGAGTCATGAGACCTGGTAGCCTGTTTTGACTGCTGCCGAGAAGCCTGGATGGAGAACTCTTTATTTAGAGATAATATCATTGATATACTAGCAAAGAGTG